TTCGCTTTCACAACGAAACACAGCGCCTTCACGACATGGCGGCGGCGGCAACAACAATTCTACAGCGAGAATAAAAGTTACGCCTTCTTTCTTTGCGTGAACATTTGGGCGGTGTTATGCAAATCTTCCCACACAGTGACATAGACATGTGGGGGCGTGCTTAAACGAGGCGTTTTAGGAGGGCGTGGACGAGTCTTTGAGACTTTTGTTTGAGACTTTAGTCTTTGCAACTTTAGGGATCTTATCTATTCACAATCAGCTTGTAACACTCCAAAGAGAAAGGAAAACTTGAAATCGCATCATATGACCCCTTTAAAGCTACTTTGACACAATCTGTATGTTATGAATAAAGGTGACTTGACTTGACAGATTACTGCAATTTTATCAAACAGTGTGTAAGGTTTAGGAGTGAGACAAAGAGTAATTTCATAATACTATATAGCATAAATCAAATAGTAATACTCCCTAAAGTTAGTGCTGTTGTTTTCCCATTAACAATGATGTCACATCCTGGTCTGGAGGATGATGTCACTAAGGACCTGGCTTTTGTTAGAAAGAATAATTGGAATAACAGGGTGGAAAGTGATATTGAGGACACTGGGGGCAAAAACCTATGAAATGATTACCAATTAAAATAGTATTCCAAGAATTTTGATTAGAGACAAGAGGATTTTTTTTGTCAAAAGATGTGGTAAAAATGGCAACATCGACTGAAATTAAAAATATATATTTTTTTTTAATTCACCCCCACAGCCCATATCCTCCACTGATCATTGTCCTGAATTATAAAAGAAAACAAACTGATATGATTTCATTAAAAACCGCAAGTAACTGTAACCTTAAAACTGTAAGACATTTTCTTGAATACATAAAGACATGTTATCTAATACATAAAGATATGATGGTTACATGAAAACAAAGTGACAACCAAATCAGTCCCAGTGGCCCTCAGTTTGGGTTTTAAAATCTAAAGCCCCCAGAACGTTATATTCTAGGCCATTTCATCTATCTTCTGAAATGGGTGAGAGGCCAAGAACGTTGTATTCTAGGCCATTTCATCTATCTTCTGAAACAGGGGAGAGGCCAACTAAGTTCTATTAGAGAAAAGGGAGTCAGAGTTGGATTTTAGACAGGGACACCGCAGCCCAAATTCTGACAAAACCAATACAGACTAGTGGCAAAGGAGGAGGAAAGCCAAAAAAAAAAAAAACACACACACACACACACCAGAAACCACCCGAGAAAAGAGTGGGAGGATGAGAACAAGTGAGAGAACCAGAAATCAGAGGAAAAAGATGAAGCGATAGATTCCTTAAGAGAGACGGATGGATGGCGTACAGAAGACGGGTAATAGGAGACTTTGAGACTAAAAGAAAACAAAAGGAAATAGAGAGATGTTTTTATCAGCGATTATACGGGACGCTTTCTGCACGCGATCCAAAATATACCATTATGTTACAGCATGCGTGGGAAAACTTAATAAAACACTTTTTTTTTTTATTACTGTCCTCGCCCCTGCCCTAAAGATACGAATAATCTGACGAAAACCCACAGCAGCGGGAGAGGATGAGTTAGCAACTCATACCATTGCCATAACAAAAGTCCAGACTGTTAGAATCTGGGATATTCCATCCGTGTTTGTTCGGAACGGGGGAGAGGTTGACTCGATCCCATTAGAGACGAGGGAGTCAGAGTAGGAGTTTTGGGGGGGCTCTAGAGAGAATATGTGGTGATCTAACAAACCAAAACATGAGTCTCATGACTCTCACTATGGTGTTCTGGTCAACTGAAGCAAATCACATAAATATAAAACAAACATAGCAACCGAATGCATTGCCGCTTGCTTCTAATCACTCCCACTCATTAGCTTGCAATCATTAAACTACAATGCATGTGATGACTGTTCAGTGGCTGAACACTAAATCAACACTGACACTTAATTTGCAATAATGCGTGTGCATAATGGCTTTGTTTGGAACAGATCTGCTTTGAATACTGTGCAGTATATGGGCCATTGTCAGGAAACTAAAACTTGAGAGCCAAGTATCTCCATAACTTACTAGGATAGAGAATGTAATCATTTTTGTTTTGACTGTAGAGCAAAATAAGTGTTAAGATAAAAGTTTTTTATTTTATTTAAAATGTTATTTTTCCTTAAATATCAACTAATTTGAACAATAACATTAATCACTGTTACATTAAAAAACCCTTCAAATTCAACAGAATTTTTTTCATTAATTTATTCTAAAAAAAACAAAACAAAAAACATGTTCAACCCTGTTACGTTGTGACAGTTTAAAAATGTTCTTGGCTTTTGCTTTGCAAAGCAATCACATTTTTTATGTGGGGTAATAATTTAAGAATCAGCTAATAAACTCATTTTTGTTGACCACTAATCTGCATTTTTAAAAGTATTTTTCAACATTTAAAAAAAAAAACTGTTCAACCTTGTTATGTTGTGATATTTTAGTTTAAATATGTTCTTGACACTGTATTTGAGAGTTTGGCATCATTTTTGACCTCATGGTTTAAACTGAGGTAGGTTTCTTTTACATCTGTATTCTTGTACATCTGTGGTTCATTTTGGTTAGGCTTATATTGGACCTGTCGAGCTCAAACATTCAACTCTGTTGTGGGAAAAAATTCATAGTGATTAACTTTTTGCTGGAAAAATATTGTTCTTATTGCACAAAGCACAAGAATAATGACTTCAATGAACATTTTGCACATCAAAATCAACTCTGCAATATTTTGAATGTAACAGGGTTGATGCAAACCATGTTTAAAAAAAAAAAAAAAAAGAATTTCAATTTTATTTCATTATAATTACAAGGAACACTGACACTGAAGCAGAGTTTACTCTATTCTGATTATCTGTTCAAATTATAGTTCCTGTGAAAGGGTTGAAAAAAAATGAGAGCTTTAATGTTAAATTTAACAACAATTACTGATAATACTGTAACTACTGGTATTTTGTAAAGCTATTTTCACATTTTTTATTTGGGGTAATAATTTAAGAATCGGCTATTTAAAGCCACTTATTTGTTGACCACTAATCTGAATTTTTTAAATTATTTTTCTTTTTTTATAATTTTATTCTAAAAACCCTGTTATGTTGTGATATTTTATTTTAGAAATGTTCTTGACACTATATTTGAGAGATTGGTATAATTTTTTGACCTCATGGTTTAAACAGAGATAAGTCTCTTTTACATCTTTATTCTCATACATCTGTGTTTCATTTTGGTTAGGCTTATATTGGACCTGTCGAGCTAAAAAAAATATGTAGTGATCAACCCTGCAATATTTTGAATATAACAAAGTTGATAAAGCATGTTTTGAAAGAAAAATAGCGTTTTGTTTCAAATCATAATTACAAGGAACACTGAAACTGAATCAGAATTTACTCTATTCTTATTATCTATTCAAATTATATTTATTAATTCTTTTTTTCATTTAATTTGATCATTTTATTCTAAAAAAAACTGTTCAACCCTGTTATCTTGTGTTAAGTTCAGAAATGTTCTTCAAATTATATTCAAGAGATTGGCATCATTTTTTGACTGCATGGTTCTTTTTTTAAACTCTGTATTCTCATACATCTGTGTTTCATTTTAGTTAGGCTTATATTGGACCTGTCAAGCTCAAAAGTTCAACTCTGTTGTGGACAAAAAAAATCAGTGATCAACTTCTTGCTGGAAAAATATTGTTCTTGCACAAAGCACAAAAATAATGACTTTATTCAATATTTTGCACAAATCTTCAACCCCACAATATTTTTAATGTAACAGGGTTGACACAAAACATGTTTTGAAAGAGAACTAGCATTTTGTTTTAAATAAAAATTTCACGGAACCCTGAAACGGAGTCAGAATTAACTCATTTATCTATTTAAGTTATAGGCCCATGTCTATCAATTTCAAAGTTCCTGTGACAGGGTTGAAAAATTGACAGCTTTAAGGTTAGAGTACGAAAAAATCGCAATTTGATATTTTCCCCCAAATTGCACAGCCCTAGTAACAATAAACAACTATGTGTCATTTGTAAAGTTATCATCACATATTTGAGAATCAGCTACTGAAAACACTTTATTTGTTGACTACTAATCTGAATTTTTTTTTTTTATTAAAAATGTCAAAGAAATTTTAAAATCTAATTTGACATTTTGAAATCAAATGAATCAAGATGATGTTAAAAACTGTGATTGCTTCCAGTTTAATTTCAGTTTGATGTCTATGTGAGCTGTGCTTCAATACATTATTGACAATTACTTTTTGCAGAAATTTTGCTAATGTTGTCTGGCAGATTGTCATTTGTTACTCGAGACACTATTTCAAAACAAAGGCAATTTATTCAGTTTTAACAAATACTTCATACACAAATATATGTATATATATATATATATATATGAAAAAGTACATATTTCATATACTACATTAACACAGTTCACTGTCGTCATTTTCCTGTGTATTCGTAAACTGCCCTACAAAAGCGCCACAAAACTTTCAGTAGTTTATTTTTTTCTGTACAATAAACAAAAAATATTTAGACTAACCATTATGAAAACAAATTGATAATTGATGAATGAAGACAGGCGGCCCCCAAATAAACCCCCAGATCTTCACCAATACAAACACACACACGCACACAAAATTCACAAAAGGATTGCAAAACGGAAAAATCTCGGATTATGGTTTATAGCATATTTTAAACTGCTGCTTTTTTGAAATATCATATAAGCAAAAGTCTACAAAGTGTGATGCTCATGTACTAAAAATGACACTTGTGACCGGTTTAAACCCAGTAACTCGACCGTCTGCTCGAATCTTCAGTTAAACATGCTTGTTCCTTGCGTATGAGGTACTTCAGATAGACCGGAGAGGAAAAAGCCTTCTGTTCTTTTCTGTTTTGTTCAGTGTCGGAGAGATTGGATGAGCCAGCGATGAAACCAGCATTGCTTATACATTACCAAGCAGACTGGACGCCGTGACTGTTTTTGGTGGGACGGCTAGTAGTTTCCATACGAGCTGACATGTTACAACAAATTGCATTTGTTTTACTTGGAATTAGTTGAAAATTGTTGACTGAAGGCTGTGGTTTTGGTAGATAATTTGAGTTTGAGTGGCCACGCTCCTCGGGTTCACCCTCTCCTTGATGCTTTAGCCGAATATCTTTGTATACGCACACGTGAGAAGTTTGCACGAGCGACTCAAGTGCCTGGCATCTGAATCTGAACCACCTCTCCGTTCTCGGCTTGCTGGAGCTGAATGGCCTCCTTCACGTCCATCTCCGCCTGCAGCGCTGGAGTAAGAGCTTCAGCCTGAGAACCAAAAACAGTGAATGTGTCATTTTTGTGTCATTAGAAAACCAAATGCAACTGCAAAAATGATTGCTTCAAACAGGTTTTCTGAACATTTCCTCCATCTGCCATCTCCATCTGTGGCTAATTTTACCATGTCGACCTGATCCTTGAAAACCATAAACAAACTATGCAAGGACAAAAGTTCACATGCAGGATAAACATGGTCTGTGCTAACTGCAATGTATTTCGTGCAGTGAATTATGAATTTTATTCATTGTAAAAAAAAAAAAAAAATCACATGAAATAAAGTTGCCTAACCCTAACTGGGAAAAAAATATTAATTTAATTTATAAAAACGTATATATATATATATATATATATATATGTTTGTTTGTTTTTTGCTGAGACGATTCTACCACAATATGTTTTAGAATTTTTTTCAATTTTATTCTTGAGCAAAAAATCGGACTGGAATAATGACTACTGGAAATTCAGCTTTGCATCACAGAAATAAATTACATTTTGAAATATATTACAATAGAAAAGAGTTATTTTACATTGTATTGTTTTTGACTGTATTATTTAATCAAATAAATGCAGCCTTGTTAAACAAAACAATCTTGTTTCAAAAACATTAATAAATGTGATAATAAATGTGTTTTCTTATCAATTGGTCCATATGGGAAAAATACAAAATAAATAAATAAGAATTACAAAATTAAAAAGTAAATTAAAAAACTAAAACATTATTTTTTACTTTTAATTCATTTGAATTTTCTGCAATTTTATTGTGTGTGTGTGTATATATATATATATATATACACATACATACATACATACATACATATGTTATAACATCCACGTAAATTTATTTAAATACATTTTAATTTAAATAAATTTATTGAATTTTTCCCTGATGTCCAGTAATGTTCTCAAGTTTTATTTATTTAGATTTTGTTTTATTTTACTTTTTGTTTTATTTTTTTATCATAACCCCCCAGTATAGAGTTATGATATTTGCAGCCAGTGTAAAATACCTGATATATAGGACGTTGACCAAACAGCTGAATACTACATTAACTCATGAAGTTCATAGTGACAGTGTATCTTGGATGGAAACACCCAAATGGATTCTTGGCATTAAAGAAACAACACTGAATGGAAATGTCTGTCTGCAACACGTTCTGAAATGTCTGTTTGATTAAGATACCATACATAATCGAATCACTGTCAGTCAGCTGATACACATCTATCGCCGCACGGTATATCCCGTCATTCGCCCAGGCTTAATACGTCGCGCTTTACCATATTGATGGAGGCAGTGAAAGCAGACAAATACAACGCTGACAGGTGTACAGATTGATACAACGAAAACAAAGACCAAGACAACAACAAGAGATGGAAAACCAGGAGGAAAGTAAAGGGTCAGATGAAGGCTACACTTTATCTCAGTCGTCGAAATGAAAACACTCCCTCAAAAAAAAAAAAAAGAAGGGCAGAGGGAGTGATGCAGGGGGAGACAAGGCAGGATGAGTCACTTCAGAGTATGAGCAGTGAGTCATTTCTTCCTCAACACACGCCAGAGGAACAGACCGCACACCTGCACGGTGCAAAGCTCAGACTGTACTCAAGGGCCCGGCCCCCAAGTGCCAAGACTCTTAAAACACAGCCCGCCTGATGCGAGACACTCGCGGCCTGTGCTTTTCATCTGAGGTGTTAAGTGTAAACTCCTCAGGGGCCGATTTCCTGCGGCTCCACAAGAGGGCACTCATTAGAGCCAATGATTGAATCGCTCAAAAGCATCAGTTTCAAACAGCCCTGAGTAAGTGAGCTGACACTTCTGTCGGACTGCACAGAGAACAGAGCTTCCTGGCTGGAAACATCTCTTTATTTTCGACCATTTTTTTTATCTGTGGCGATCCAATGTGCGATATGGAAGCTATTAAATGAAAAAACTGAAGGGGTGTGTTCATGAAAAATGGCTGTAAACACTACCACATGTTTTGTGCAGCAGATGAGAGCGATTGAAATAATCCTGAAACTCACATAGGAAGAAGCGCCGTGACCACAGGATGGAGGCTGATGCCAACGGGGGATCTGAGCATCATATGTGAGACGCAAGAAGACGGCTGTCTGAAATCATTCAGCTTGAAATTAAATGATTCAAGTGAATAAGTTGACCAATTATTAAGCTTTACTATAGTTTAAAGCAGTGGTCGCCAACCCGTCGTAGATCTTTATCACTGTCCCAGTAGATCCCGAAAATAACAGTAAAATAAGTACAAAAATGCATTACATTTCTGGGGTTATATTAATGTATCACTGAAGGGAACTGTCTCGAGAAAACTTTCGATGGCAATGGCATTTTCTCCTCCGTATAAAGCGCAGCTCTGCTTTGTTTACAGCGGTAACCAAGGAAACGCGGTCGGTTCATAAGCAGT